TTGCTAGTTAGCATAAAATTCTTTCACTAGGTTCACATTCACTGCATCACCCGGATGAAACAGATTGTCGAAACCCAAAGCCCGAATGTTGTTGTAAATTTCACCATATTTATGGGCCAACTTTCCATCGTCAATAGAAACCTCAGGATCCGGGTGGACTGACGGGACAAATGTCTGAAACCAGCGTCGAGCATGGGTGGGGACAGCCCGTATACCATATTTGCATGCTGGCACCACATCCGCATCAGGTCAATGTGCTCCTCTTCCTCTTCTACTGGGGCGGGGGGAGGTGCCCGTCTCCTACCACGATGGCTGTTAGAAGCAACCTCAGATGAACCAGTGTTAGAGCGTTTGCTCGGGCGGCGTGACATTCTACCTGCACAAGACAAATAATATTATCCATAATACAAAAACCCAAAACAAAACCAAACGGGGTAACCACCCCACACTTATGTTATTGGCATGTTCACAACTAAAATGTATATCAAGGACCCAAACTACCCCGATGGAAGTGCGCCATAAGCAATCAACAATCCCGCCAACCACCAACATAATAGTACAACTACAAAATCACAGACTATACTAGTTAAACATACAAAATTAAGAAGCTAATCTAGTAACTACGAAGAGAAATAAAAGAAATTATACTAATGCACTACTAACCAACTTCACAACATACAACACACCAATACACAAGTACAAAGCATGAATCGAATATACAAAATATCACCTAGCACACATTTTCTCATAGTAATTATTCTCCATTAAGCTACAATGTCACTTTCAAGGTCATTGAGGCATTTAGTCAAACACATAGCATTTACCAAAGTTACCTCAAAATTTCAACTTTAATTCTTCCAATATTACTACACAACCATACCAATCAACCATCCTACCATCACCACAATGTAACAATGGCACAAAGTGCTCCAAATTTGCACAAATACACCACCAATTTTCGGCCTTTAAGGCACCTCCACACAACTTCATCATAATTTTTTTTATAGGCATCAAGACATGCGAAAAATCTTCCACAAGGATAAGCATAATGAAAACCCAACAAGTTAAGCACCAATCATGGCCAAAGTAAGCAATTAAATTGAAAAAAAATTAATTAGCATCAATACACTACCTAGGGTTTAGTTGAAATTAACTATAATACTCATGACACTAAATTACTTAAAGAAAGGAGAAGAGAGTAGAGAAACTTACCTTGAGGGAGAATGGATGGGATGGGATGTGTGTGTGGCAAGGAAATTTGAGAAGAAAAGAGAATGGTGGGATTTGGGGGAAGGGTTTGGTCATTTGGAATGAAAGAGATAAAAAGAACAAGGGGTT